TCTCAGCTAGAAAAGGAAGGTCTTGCCTGTATTTTTGGAATTTCACGATTATGCGTTTGGCTGTTCCTTTGAGCTGGTCGCGCTACGTCCCAGCAGGCATCCTCTCGTATAAAAGTTGGACTTTCTTTCTTTCTAACTACGAGTATCGACTGGTATTTCGAAACACGACAGCGCACGCAAACGCTGACGCCTTGAGTCGCTTGCCACTGCCGGAACAGCCAGCGAAGGTATTCGAGGAGCCTGAGCTAGTGCTGTTAGCTGAGCATCTAAATGAATCTCCTGTAAGGAGACCAGAAGTTGGCAGAGTTCTGCAGTACATTCAGCAGGGCTGGCCAAGTGATGGGGATCAGAGGCTTGTGAGCTGGAACCTTATTCCCTTATTCACCATGCCGCCTGGAGCTTTCCAGCTGTATCGGGAACACGTGTAGTGATTCCTCCACCAGGCAGAGAAGCAGTTCTGCAAGAGCTGCATGAAGGACACCCGGGAATCACACGTATATGAAGTCCCTCGCCAGAATGTACGTCTGGTGGCCCGGGATTAGTGCAGATAAAAATCTGTGCGCCTCTGCCATGATTGTCCACAAGTACAGTCTTTACCCCCACTTGCTCCACTTCACCAGTGGAAATAGCCTACTAGACCTTGGGCGAGACTCCATCTTGATTTTGCGGGTCCATTCGAAGGCAAAAACATCCTTATTCAAATGGTCTGGCAGAGAGGGCCGTGCAAACGGTCAAGCGAGGTCTGAAAAAGGTCAAAGACGGTACCATGAGTGCTAGACTAGCGAAGGTTCTCTTTACTTACCGGGTTACTCCACAGAGTACAACTGGACTAGCTCCAGCTGAACTTCTGTTGGGGAGGAGACCGCGTACACGCCTCGATCTGCTGAAACTCAATACGGCGGAGAGGGTGGAATGCAAACAACAGCAACAAAAAGCACAACATGATTCACGTGGTAAATCTCGAACTTTTCGTATCGGTGACGCAGTTCTTTTGAAGAATTTTACTAGTCCATGTTGGCTTCCAGCAAAGGTCATAGAAACGTCTCGTCCGGTGTCATTTCATGTCTTACTAGACGATGGCAGATGCAAACGCTGTCACCAAGACCAGATACGTCCAAGGGTCACTGACGATGGAACTCCAGACATGTCAGAAATTCTAGTGGCACTAACAACTCCTGAAACATAGATAACGAACTCTGATCAACCGAACGTTCGAAGGAATCCGACTACAACGTCCAATACATCCGATTCGACCGTTACGACGAATTCATCCGAATTGAACACCCGTCGTTATCCCCATCGAGACAACGAAAACCTCGTGAAAGGTTTGAACCTGGAAAAACTTGATATTGTGTATGAATTTGTCTGTGTTATGGCATGTGAAAATTATGAGGTAGAAAGGCAAAGGCACAACAAACAAATCAACTACACCTAGGACAGCTATTTTAAAATAAAGAGCTGCCCTAGGTTGGATTCGAACCCACAACAATGCATGAGTTCTATAATGTCTTTGTGTATTGTTTTCTTATTGTGTAATGTTCTTGTTTCGTAGTTGCATGTTTATACTTTGTCTTATGTTTCTTTGTTGTGTTTTGGTTCTTTATTTTGATTTTCTGTAAGGATTCACCTGAGGGGGGAGGAATGTCATAGATATGCATACTCCCGTGACGTCACTTATACTTTTTTCCGTTTCCAATTTTTAGCCATTATAAGTAGCTACTCTCTTACTGTGTGCAGACTGTTAGACTGTGTTGTTTATCGATATGTCAATGCGTGCGTGTTGAACCTACGAGGTCACGACACCATGCCAATCTCTATATAGCTATATTATACTGGTACTATGAACCAAGATTGACATAACATAGTGAAACTGTATAATTCATAAGATTTAACTACTAGCTATGGCTGGCTTCTTCCGCATGCAAATTGTTTAGTAGGGATTTTGTTCTGATGTGGTACAGGTCTAAGACTGCTTGGTTCGTCCGAAGAGTGCACTGACATGCTGGAGGCAGGGGTTCTGTCACATGGAAGAGACATTGTTGATATCTACAGCAACAGTTGGGGACCATTCGATGAAGGATTCAGAGTCGAGGGGCCAAGGACTATGACACAACGTGCCCTACAGGATGGAATAAGCATGGTACGAGGTAATATTTTGTATCGCATGCCTGTAGTTTTTCAACGCAAGCTGCACATCCAGCTTTATACTGGAGTTTAGGTTGAATGGGAGCTTTGCTAACTATCTACAAGTGGAAAAAGCATTTCTTTATAATGATGGGGGATATAGGGATGGCTTGAAGCACCAAAAAGGAAGAAACAAGGGGTCATTACACAACAAAGATGCACGAAGCTACACGATACCATCCCTATATCTTTGTCTCATATTAAACTTTACTTGTGAACTATATACAACACAAAGATATAGGGATGGTGTCATGTAGCTTTGTGCATCTTTGCTGTGTAATGACCCCTTGTTTCTTCCTTTTTGGTGCTTCACCCCTTGTTTCTTGCTTTTTGGTGTATGCGTAGTGTCTCCAACAACGATGCAATTAGGTTGTGGCACATATGGTGGGGTGGTTTCATAGGCAGGCTTCAGTAATCAGACTACGATAGCTAAACCTGAGGGGACAAACAATGAAGGCGCTGGGCAAAGCCCGCGTAACACGGCGCACACTGCCAAGTTGCTCCTCGTACAAATCAACAGCATAACGCAAGCTAGCCAGTTAAAAATGTGTATACTGACTTACAGAAGGCACTGGAGGATAAGAGTTCCTCTGCAAGCATCCTGGTCTCATAGACTATAGTAATGCGCGCGCACCGCATTGGGGAAACGCCCTCCTCGGCGCATGCGGCTCACTGATGCGGAGTTATATAGCAGGAAATGGTGATGTCCAGTGACTATACCGTGGAAGAGCTCAACGATCTACCGTAGTGACTTGCGGCAAGAAACAAGCGATCGCTTAATATGCGTGCACACCTTCAGAACATTTGGAGACGTTCTGTGAAAAAATTAACGCTTCTACTGCTTCTGGTAAGGAGCTAGCGGGTTTGAAGAAGAAGAAGGAGATGAAGAGTATCATTACAAGTGGAAAAATCTTTTCTTCAAAATGAAAGTAGGATATAGGGATGACTTAAAGCACCAAAAAGGAAGAAACAAGGGATCATTACACACCAAATATGCACAAAGCCACATGACACCATCCCTATATCTTTGTCTCATATGAAACTCTGCTTATGAACAATAAAACAAAGGTATAGGGATGGTGTCATGTGGCTTTGTGCATATTTGGTGTGTAATGACCCCTTGTTTCTTCCTTTTTGGTGCTTCAAGTCATCCCTATATCCTACTTTCATTTTGAAGAAATTGTTTTTCCACTTGTTTCCACTATTTAGCTTATATGACAACACTGCATTTTCAGTCACTCTGATGTTCATGGGTATGTTGTAGAGATATAACTGGGGGACAAAGAATGAAGGCGCCTGTTCAAGGCACGGCGAAGATTCCCAAGTTGCTCCTCGTGCAATTCAACACCAAAACGCAAGCTAGCCACTTACAAATGTGCACACTGACTTACAGAAGGCACTGGAGGATGAGAGTGGTTTTCTCTGAAGGCATCCAGTCCTGGGCTTAGTTTCGTTCGTGGACGAGACACAATGCGCGTGCACCAGATTGGGGAAACGCCCTCCTCGGCGCATGCGGCTCACTGATGCTGAGTTAGCAGCAAATGTCGTTGTTCAGTGAAAGAGCTCAATGATCTACCGTAGTGGATTGCGGCAAGAAAGAAACGATCGCTTGATGTGCATGCACACCTCCGGCAAATTCGGAGACGTTCTGTGAAAAAATCAACGCTTCAAGTGCTTCCGGTAAGGAGCTAGCGGGTCTGAAGAAGAAGGTGAAGTATTATGATGATGACACGAAAATCGTGTATGAGCGAATTCTCGTGTGGACGACTGAAGGTGCATATGAGGTCTTGGGGGACATATATAGGTAGATATGGGCCCGTAGACTATTGCCAGTATGTTTTGAAGGCCTAGGGAGTGATTCTCACCGAGTTTTTAGTCGTTTTGTACACGGATCACGTGAGATTTCACCCGTGTCGTCCCTGTCTACCGACTCTCTGATGATGACACGAAAATCGTGAAATCGCGTAAGTGCGAATTCTCTCGTGGGGAACTGATGGCACTAGGAAGTCTTGGGGCATATGTATAGTGTAGGTATTGACCTCTAGACTATTACTAGTGATTTTGAAGCCATGGTGAGTCATTCTCGCTGAGTTCTTAGGCGTTTTGTACGCAGATCACGTAGATTTCACTCGTGTAATCCCTATGTCGAGCATCTAGATATCTTTGCATGAATTGTCACTTTTTTTGATTGAACCGTGCACATCTTCCTCTGTCTATATCCTGTGAGATTTTCCCCCCTTATCACATCTACATAGAGTGTCTTACAACAATCTGAAAAGCATAAAAATAATATCCCTAGTAGTACTTTATTCCAGAAAGAAACAACCATAACTGCTGTGGATGGAATGCCTGCAGTGAGACTAGTAATTACTCAGTTCTGATTGGTTGCTTCACACATTGTGTAAAACACTAGCTACATACGTCTTATGTATGGCTTGTGAAACTACATCATGATATCATACTTTCTTCAGGGACGAGATGGAAAGGGATCCATTTACGTGTGGGCAAGTGGTAATGGAGGAAATGAAGGTGATGACTGTGCAGCCGATGGATATGTATCCAGTATTTACACCATTGCTGTTGGGTCCATTGGAGTCGATGGAAGCCGAAGTCTAAGAAAATGATGAAGAGTGCTCTGCAAAAATGGTTGCTGCTTATGTGACAGACACGTACAGGAATCCTGCTGTTGTAAGTGTGATTTGCCTCTACAGTAAAACATGGTTGTCACATAAAACTTTGAAGAGAACTGTGGACACTGGTGGCAATAGATGTCGACTTGACTTTGGTGGAACTAGTTCTGCTACTCCGATGGTGTCAGGAGCTATAGCACTAGCGCTAGAGGCAAAGTAAGTTCTTTTACAGTTGAGACAAAAACTCTACAGAGGTAAAAGCTATGAATTGTGAAGTTAGCTGTAAGGTTTTGCCTTAGCAGCATACTCCTCTTGTTAGCCACTTATATGCATTTGTTCTCTCAAAATAACACGTCCAAGCGGAATGACAGTGCAATTCTAGCTCTTGCAGCCAATGTCACTGGCGCCCAAAAACTTCTGCTAATGCACATTTAACGCCCGGGCCATTAACAGTTGTATTCTTGGAATTTGCACTATTATTATTAACCCTTTGTGCGCATGCGCAGCGAGGGTTACAGTACGAGGTTTTGCACTTTAGTGCTTTTCATTCAATTAAGAAGCCACTGTTTCATTTTGAGTTGGTATGGGGGTGACTCTATAAGCAGATAACAAGTATTGTGCATGAAACTTCTTATATCCTATGTTTCCAAGGGAGTTCTAATGACTTTTACACAGTGTTTTAGCTCTCAGGCTCAGTCTTCGGTGTCTACCTCATGTATTACCATGACTTTCTCAAGCAATTCTTGTGTTCATGTTATTCTGTTTTGATCTGCTAGTCCTAGTTTGACATGGAGAGATGTCCAGTATCTGATAGTGTACACGGCTAATCCTCGTAAGACTCCTGCTCCTCGGACTCTGAATAGAACTGGGCTGACAGTGAGTCGTCAGTATGGGTTTGGAGTCTTGGACATTGAGGCCCTAGTTACCAGAGCTAGACACTGGATCAATGTCCCTCCTCAGATAGAAGATAAAATTACTGACATTGCTCAGTAAGTAATGCTTTGGTTTGTAATCCACTGTCCTTGTTTTACTGATTACTCCACTGATTATGGCTTATTAACCCTGGGCGCGCATGCGCAGCGAGGGTTACGGTATAGTTGTCCCGTAAGTGTGTCTGTCAGTCCGTCAGTCTGTCAGTCTGTCAGTCCGTCAGTCTGTCAGTCTGTCTGTTACCACGTTTTCTGCCACCGCGCACACGAAATCAGGTAAATAGCGATATGATCGGGTTCAGTGCTACACTGGGTTGATTTTAAAAAAGGCGATTTTCGTAAAACTACTGTGTTTTAAAGTTATGGCGTGAAAACCAAGTGAACAAGCCAATATGTAAATTAGCACAGGCTTACCTCGACCACGTCCATTCGCTCGGTGTGTCTTGAAGGCACAACAAGTCACAACGAAGGGCATGTATCGACTCCCGCATGCTATTTACTACTGTAGCTAGCCCGTGCCAAACTCTCCGCGAGCTACTAGCGGTATACCACGAGTAAAGGCATAAAAAGCCCAGCCCATCAATTAGTGGTACCGCACATGCGCAGTTCGCCGAGGGTTTGCACTTTAGTGCTTTTCATTGTAATTGCAACTCTTTGTGGCAAAGTAAAACTTTTGTATTGGTGGTATTTTTAAAACGGGCGAAATTTGTTGCAAAATCTTATACTGGTATTTTTTGACCACAGGCAACAAATTTTGGATAATATATCATACTCGGGAACTGTGACCTACAATGGACCAATCCAGTACTTAGAGCACGTAGTGGTTCGTATTTCTGTGGCTGTTTTGGAGGATTTCAAGAGAGGTGATTTACAGATTGAGCTTACATCACCATCTGGGACACTTTCAATTCTCCTTATGCCCCGCCCTAATGATGCCCTACCTAGTCAGTCAGGCTACTCTGACTGGCCTTTCATGTCAGTTATGTTCTGGGGAGAAAATCCAACTGGACAGTGGACACTCAACATAAAAACAGGCGACGTCAGTAGTGGTGCTAATGTTACTAACGTAGTGTTTCAGTTCTATGGAGTGTTTCAAGTGCCAGAGGCAGTGGCAAATATTCCTGACCAGTGTCATTCTGACTGCAGAAGAGGGTGTGCTAGAGAGGGCTCCAACTTCTGTGACTCATGTGTCAACCTCCGCAATGCATACACTCTGGAGTGCATTAATGAGTGTCCTCCAGGGTATACTGAACGTAATCGCTATTGCTACGATGCAAGTCTACCACTGAAAGAATGCAATTCTCCCCTAAAGAGCAAAGAAGGTACTAGATTCACTCCAGGGTATGAACCCATTGGCTGCCAAGAAGGAGGAATTGACACGTGCTGTGCTGATACCGATAAAGACTGCAACCTCTTTTATCCTGATCATCAGTGTTTTTGTGACGATGTATGCCACAATTTTGACGATTGCTGTGGGGATGTGGATCAAATTGGGTGCACAGAACAAAATGGTGAGTTACTTATGGTTATTCCTTGTGAGTGAAAGACTTTTGTCTTGTTTATATCTCTTCCAGTTACACACTTTCCTTACATTGAGCTTGGAGTGACCCCAGGAATTGAAACACAACATGCTGTGGAAAAGCCAATGGATGTTGACTTTCCCTATTATTTATCCTTGGAAGAGACTGTTTCTGTATGTCAAAACAAAGGTGTTGTTGTTTCTTTTCAATACAGCACTTTTGCAGGTTGGACCTGATGGCTACTTCAACTTTGGAACTGATTTAAGTAGTTTAGTAGGTCCCTTCTCGAGCACTGGTTCTATTCCAGGGTCTGCTTCCTATGAAGTTCACAGAGGAGCTCTCTCTCAAAATGTCCTCTCTCAAGCAAGTTCCATAGTCAATGCTAATGAAGCCACAAACTTTTATGCCAAGTGGGTTCTTCTTGCCACATGGGAGACATATGCGGAAAATAACAAAGTAAGCTTAAGTCAACAACAAAATAAATACTCTGAGATAGATCACAAATTAGTACTTTACTTACAGACATGACAGTAAGCAAGGCTTTTTACCAGTAAACCAACCACCAACACACAATTCTGTCTGTTGTTCCATAACATTATTGATATGGGTAAAAAATACAACTTAGGTTATAAAGAGATAGCTACCTATGAGATTAGGGATGTGTAGGGCACTCGGCACTCACACAGGTGTACACCAAATTTTCAAAAGACTATAATATATAATTATTATACTATGAGCCGAAAGTTTTATGGTAACAGAAACGGTGACATCACACACTTTCATGCTCATTGCAAACTTCCTTGTCACTGGTAACTTTTGTTCGTTTTTATTTGTTATTTCCTTGTTATTAGACTAACACCTTCCAAGGAATGCTGGCTACAGATTTCATCAGCTCCTACACTGTCTTCACGTACAATTGCAGAGATATGAGTTTCTCCCCACCAATTGGGACATCAATTATTGGATTTTATCACAATGACTTTCCTTCACTAGAAATCAACCACGGAGCCACAAGAAGAGAGAAACCACATTTGATTGCCTGTATCAATCAACCCAGCAGTCCGTGGGTGAATGTGGTATACGGACTCTCTGCAGACGATAGCCTAGGTGAGGCACAGGTGTCTTTAGGGGACGACAGAATACCTTGAACTGATTTTGCCTGGAGGCCGGAAGCTATGCGGGCCCATACCATGATTTGTGTGTTGTGCGGTTTTGCGCTTTGTGACACACTTTTGCAAAGATTTTTTTATACTGAATTATATCTGCACAGTTGATGAGTGTGAGATGGATAATGGAGGCTGTGAGCAGATCTGTACAGATACTTTCCTCTCTTTCGGCTGTAGCTGTACATATGGATATGTCTTGAATAGCGATGGAGTCTCTTGCTCAGGTTACGATAGCTACTGTATATGTACTGTGTACAATAGCAACATAACTAAATCTGTTTTACATGCTGTTATGTAACACATTATAAGATTTTGGCACTTTAAAGGTTTGCGCTGGCCACCATGGAAACTTAGTTTTATTTTTAGACCATTATATTGGGATACACTATTAATTATTTTGGTGTGGCTAGTGTCATTAAAAGTGTTAAAGAACTTACCATTTTGTTATTAACAAGCATACTGTGATGTACATGCAGAAGAACCAGTTGAGCTGGAGTTCACAGGGGACACTCCAATGGTGACAGGCAGCAACATTTCAGTCATGATACACGTGTCACCAGCCAGGCCCTTGCGGTGTCAACTCATCACTCGTGGTGCTTCAGGAATGCCAATCCGTACAGCTGAAGACAAATGTTAGTCCATACTCTGTTAAAAACCGTAGTGATAATGCCAACAGGCTCGAGTGGTGAAGTTGTGTTCCAGAATGTTCCAGCTGGCGAACACCGAGTTAGAGTCATAGCTGGAAATGGAGATGCAGTTATCCGCAGTTTTATAGTCCTAATGCCCGACAGCCCACATTTCTGCTCACTGAATGCAATCAACCGAGGAATCACCAAGCATCACTACAACGGAACAGTCTCCAGCTACACTATCGAATGGCGAGCAATTGGAGACAGTGTCGGATTTCTCTGTGACTTTGGCATCCCAGAATATGCAGAAAAATGTGTGTTGTGATACTTTATTACAGACAACAATGTCCTTTCCTTCATTCCCTCACTGCAGGCAGCAGTCCATACACGTTCTCAGCTGAGGATGGGGTGACGAGGGTGAAAGTCCTTCCAGATCCCGAGAAATGTAGAGGAATGCGAAGCCCCTTTGTGTTCAGACTGGACTGATTAAAAATTAATATGATTGACCTTTCGGTAAAATTATCAACTTTTGTATTTTTTTAGTATGTTAGCTAATTTGGGTTTCTTCCCACTGTAATAATTGCAAGCAAGTAGTTGCATTAATTTGGAATGCAGCCCATAACTGTGTGTCTTATTCTACTATAACACTTGCTGTGGGCATAATGAGCAGAGCGCCGACAATAAACACCCCACAAACTCCTCGTATCCAAGCACTCCTACTAGGTCTCTGCGTGCTTTGCTGTCTCATGCGAGTTGCTTTTCTCGAGGAATTACTGAGCCCGACACACACTAAAATTGGACCTGCTGAAATAAAAGGTTATATAATAAGTAGTTGAAATTATTAATGGATAAAGCACCTTAACACCCCATATATTATTACCATTGTGAATTTTCCTTGAGAGACATTAAACGCTTATACATGACGAATGACCAGATGGCAAACGATGCCTTCAACCTTCGTAGTGTTGAAAGGGAGAAAGAGAGAGAGAGAGAGACAGAGAGATAAAAGCTAGAGTTAGCTAGCAGCATGGAGAACTTCATTGTGACACCTAAAAGGAGTGTATTGTGAATGCATGCGAAGTTGGTTTCGTACAATGTGGGTCGTTCTCCTCAGTCCCCAATCCGCATTTGTTATTTCTTCAACCCATGCTACATCCCTCGGTGTAAGATTACCAAGAAACTGATATTGTAAGTCAGCTACCTAGCATCTGCCAAAATACTTTTCTAAAAGCAGCTAGCAATACAAATAAATGCAAAATGATACACTACATGTACATTACAAACAGTGCATACATAAAGAAGCCCGACTATTAAATTCAGAGATAGCTAAATTAGTAACTGTTTGTTTCGACCAAAGGCCCCCTCAGTTTGACATAGCGAGCGACAGGTGGAGCATTCTAGAGAATTGGGTCAAGTTCATTCTCACTACTGCTGCTGCTGAGGCTGTCGGTTAGCGAGTGCCGTAGCACTAGAGGTCTGACTGTCTTCCTCTTCCTCCATGGCCACTTCTTCTCCTGCAACCATACCTTCACCTGTCCCCAGTAGTGAGTTTCACCAACAATTGACACCCTTTTTAGGCATTATAATGAACAGCAAAACAAAAGTTTAAGGAAGAGTCATGACTGAAGCCAAAGCAGAAAACAAGGACAGGTATCTGTGCTCTTTACTAACTTTATGTCAGTGTTAAATCTTGCGAATGGCATCCAACACTGAAGGATCTCTGTGAACTAAATGGATTTTACATCACAGACAGGTTTAATCACCAATTATTCTCTCACATGCAAGGTATTCCTGCTGTGCTTGATATTGAAACAAGTGGAAAAATTATTTCTTCAAAATGAAAGGGGGATATAAGGATGGCTTGAAGCACCAAAAAGGAAGAAACAAGGGGTCATTACGCAGCAAAGTTGCACAAAGCTACATGACACCATCCCTATATCTTTGTTTTATTGTTTATGAGCAAAGTTTAATATCAAACAGAGATATAGGGATGGTGTCATGTAGCTTTGTGCAACTTTGCTGTGTAATGACCCCTTGTTTCTTCCTTTTTGGTGCTTCAAGACATCCCTATATCCCCCTTTCATTTTGAAGAAATGATTTTTCCACTTGTTTCAACTATTTTTAACAGCTTATGACAACACTGCATTTAATGTTACAGTCACTCTGAAGTTCATGGGTATGATGTCCATAGACGAATTGTAACTGTTGAAAGTATTATATATAGATAATGGGGCTGCTAGTGCCTGAAGCAGGGGCTAGATACCGCATTCACCTCATGTATTGTCTTCAACAAGGATGTATACTTAGATTATTGCACATGGTTGTGTGGTTTCATTGGCAGGCTTACAAACAATGAAGGCCCATTTGACTGAGTGCCCCGCAAGGCTCGTGTAACATCGCGCAGACTATGGAAAGTTGCTCTTCGTGCAAATCAACAGCAAGATAGCCAGTATGAAATGCGCACACTTACTTACGGAAGGTACTGGAGGCTGAGAGTTCCTCTGCAGGTCTGCCAACTCGCTCGCCTGGTAATACGCTCGCTAGCGCATTGCCCCTGCCTTGCGCATGCGCGCGGCTCACTGGTGCTGAGTAAGCAGCAAATGGCGTTGTTCTGGTCGACCATGGAAGAGCTCCATGATCTACCGTAGTGACTAGCGGCAAGAAAAAAACGATCGCTGATGTCCGTGCACACCTCCGGCGAAATTGGAGACCTTGAGTGAAAAAATCAGTGCTTGAACTGGTACTGGTAAGGAGATAGCGGATTTAACTCTTTGGGGCCCAAAGCACATCGAGGGGTAACTTACGTCACAAAAACGCAACGGAAACGCAACGGAAAAAAATTAAAGTAGGCTAAACGTTACCTATTTCGGGATTACGTTAGGCAATTGCGCCCGTAATTTGGGACCCCAACGATGACGCGTATGAGCGAATTCTCGCGTGGAACGACTGAAGGTGCGTATGAGCTCTTGGGGGGAATATATAGGTAGATATGGGCCCGTGACTATTGCTAGGATGTTTTGACGGCCGAGGGAGTGATTCTCACCGAGTTTTTAGTCGTTTTGTACGTGGATCACGTGAGATTTAACCCCTAGGGATATAAGAGTCTACCGACTCTCAAACAGCATTGCGGGGATATTTACAACTCATGTTTGCAGGTGTTGATGCGCTTGTTTTGTTTTGCTGCAGTGAAGTTGTCTAGCATAGACGTGCGACTGTGGCTAGTGTTCCTAGCATACTTACTACACTGTCCCAGTCTTACCACATTGGAGCTGAAGAGAACCAGACTGGGCTATAGCTATATCATGGAATCTCTACATATGCAGTGCACTGAGAAAGACACAACATTAAAACAACTTGTATTCATGATCTCAGTTGCACCATTCCGGGAGAAAAGAGAGTTTGTTGATTTGAAACTTATCTCTTTTTTGATTCCTCTGCCTAACAGACAACATGCTCTGACTTTCCTTCTGGAACTAAACAACATTTCAAGAGCAACCCACACTACTCTGGAAGAGATGACGTCCAGTCTGGATTATTCCTCCTCTCTTGTTGGTGAAGAGACGGCAGAGTATTGTCAGTGGACAGGACTTGGACCTCTTCAACAGATCAAATGTGGGCTATCCGTAGTGGCATGTCTCCTAATCTCAGGAGATCATCTCATCTTCAGACCTCACTCAGCCACTGACTCAACGTTCTGGGACATAAAATTTATCACATCTCTCGTTCAAGTAAGACAGAGGGAAACCATAGAGTTCTAGAAACTCTTTTTAAGAGGAGGGAAATGTTATTTTCTCTTCCTTCATTCACTGCTCCAGAGACTGAAAGTCCTACAGTCATTTCTGGTCTGGACCTCGTCTCAAGGAGTGTCGGGGATATCGGGATACTTGCAGAAAAAGTTCATGCAGGAATTGCTGGGAGAGGTTGCATTCCTGGCACATGTTCAAACATGCAGTTCTGAAGCACATAGTAAAAATAAATACCTAAAGCAAAAATACTACTCTGAGCTACACTATTCTGCATAAAGTTCCCCCAAGTTTGGCAAAGAATACAAAGAGGATGAGAAAAAGGACTGTCAGAGAACAAAAAGAAATAGTGAAATAAATATATGAATGTTATGGAGACAGAGAAATGGATATATATAAATCGAGTGTGGCTACCAGCTGAGTTGTCAAGACTGTGCTGTTATTTAGTATCGTTTCACTACAAACTTGAGCAACAAGTGCAACAAAAAATCTCACATGCTCGGTAGCCCTACATAAAGGCGAGTAGACTAAGCAACCTGTGCGCAGTGTTTTGAATGGTGCGATATGCCAGGATATGTAGCTAATGGAAAATATTCCTTAATCGACAGGAGTAACTCTAATCGCCTAAATTTTACAGGGTCATACTGTCCCCAGTCAGCAGAATAAAAAACAAGAGAGTCGTACAATATTCATAGTATCTCTGAACTATATTTATCACTTTATGCCGAGCCCATCCGAAATAATGTTCATGCCACAAAGGATAAACCACCTAGCGCT